AAAAAAAAAAAAAAAAAAAAAATTGGACAAACTGAAGCATAATGAAGTCCAGAGGAGGAAAATGAGTGTTTCAGAATACTCATTCAGAACACCTGAATTATAATACGCACAATCACAAGTTGCTCACAACAGTGCTTTCCTGTAATCTCAGCGACCTAGGAGGACAAGATGGGAGAATCACGTGAGCTCAGGAGTTCAAGCCCAGCCTGAGCAACATGGCAAAACCCCATCTGAAAAATAATAAGAACGTTGCTTCTTATTATTATTATTTTATAAGAAGAATATCTTGCTTCATCAAACCGCTGTCATAAATTTTGAATCTTCAAAATAAGATTGAAATTAGATTGTCATAAATAAGAATCTTCACAAAAAACCAACAGGATTGCCTCACTTTAAAACATTTTTAAAACTATAGAAATATAACCCAGTACAGTGGCTCACGCTGAATCCCAGCACTTTTGGAGGCCAAGATAGAAGGATTGCTTGAGCCCAGGAGTTCGAGACCAGTCTAGGCATCACAGCGAGACTCCATCTCTACAAAAAATAACCACTGCATTCTAGCCTGAGTGACACAGCAAGTCCCTGTCTCAAAAAATAAAAATAAACTATGGAAATATCCATTAAGGGCATTAAAGCAATTTTAAGTGAATTAAGATATATTTCAGTATGTCAATGATCTTCAATTAATAATTCAGAGTATGAGGGAAAAAACAGAAGTTGTCTAGCTGTCCAGAAAATACATCTAGTTGTCTCATATTTTCATGAGAAAAATATGAAATAATTCTATACTAACTGTATATCTATTCAGAAAGAAAGAACATTTTGCCTACATTTACATTAATGCAGGAAAAATTTTAAATTTTGGATAAAGCAAATAATTACAAACCTGTATAAACTGATGCTCTTTATTAAATTCTTCTTCATCTTGTGCAATCAAATCAAATGCTTCAGCTTAAAAAAGAATACATTTATATAAATATATTACACTAATGCCTAAACAAACACTAGCACACATATACAAGTTAGTAAAATAAAATACTAAGGAAATAAAGCTGTAACAAATATGTAAAAGCTTGCACTCATGACTGAGGCATCTGTATTAAATGTTTAAGTCTGTGGTTGTCAAACTTTTGCTAAAGAACCCCTTGCTGTAGCTGATTTTGTCACTAACTTACCCCAATTTACTCAGGGGCTTTACAATGGAATCTTTTTCTTTCTAAAATTAATTTTAGCTTTGGAGAGCTTGGCACTCTTGAATTGAGGCACTCGCCCATGAATGCTGGTGGAATTTCATCAGCAGTCATCAGACTGATAAGCCCTCTATAAGCCTGTCATGAAGATGGCTGCAAGTGTCCCAAAGATCCATTTGCCCCCCATCCGAGGAGACCTCAGTCTGGACAAACAAGGACTGGGAGTCCCCTAATGTCTGCCCTCAAGGCTCCTACAGAGCACCTCAGCTCCCCCTGGGGAAAGGAACGCCAGCCTAAGCACACTCTCAACCCCAGGCCAACAGCCTCAGAGGCATGGGGCAAATGGGGCAAACTAAAATGCCTCAGAGGCATGGGGCAAATGGGCAAAGAGGGCCAGGGCAAGGAAACACAACTGGGAGTGGGGTGGATTCCTGCAAACTAGGAGGCCCAAGACCCTGCTTGAGGCATCAGAATTGCCAATAAACTTTAAATATGTTGGTGAAATGAGAAAGGTCTGCCGGCTACATGCCAGACTGCCTGGCTACGGCACTCTGGGCCTCTCGGTCTGACACTGCAAGGTTGGAACAGAAAGGAGAAAACTGAATGGCTACCCAGAGGGGACAGTCCACCCAAGGCCCAAACATGAGGGAGGCTCCCCACTATCCCTGATTGCATCCATCAAGGACCAATCAGATCTATACTGCTCCTTTGTAATCCTAGACTGTGTCCCACATTCATAACCTGAGAGACAAAAGAGAAACAGACACAGGATATATCTGTTCAGGAAAAGCAGAGCACCAAAGACCACTAAAGCTTCCTACCTTCGGAAACAATGCTAGTTCTTCACCTTGTGAAGTAACCATTTCTTATTTGAGACAGTGTCTTGCTCTATTGCACAGGCTAGGGTACAGTGGCGCAATCTTGGCTCACGGTAACCTCTACCTCTTGGGCTCAAGCAATCCTCCTGGTTCAGCCTCCCCAATAGCTGGGGCTATAGGCATGTGCCACCAATCCCAGCTAATTTTTGTATTTTTTTTTTGGTAGAGATGGGGTTTTGCCATGTTGCCCAGGCTGGTCTCGAATTCCTGGGCTCAAGCAATTCACCCACCTTGGCTTCCCAAAGGGCTGCCATTACAGGCATTAAGCCAAAATGCTCAGCCTAAAAAAAAAAAAAAAATTCTTAACCTACAGCACAGAACCTAAGAAGGATCAGGAGAACTATGAAGCCACCAAAATTATATGCAAAATCATACACTCTATATGTTTCTATGAACATTCACTGTGGGATCTATGACTCAAACTGTTAAAAACCACTGCCCTGAAGAATGAAAGGACCAACCAACCAAATCTGACAGCCAAGAGAAGGGAAGTAGGAAACCTGGCCCAAGACAGGGTGATATGGTTTGGTTGTGTCCCCACTCAAATCTCAACTTGAATTTTATCTCCCAGAATTCCCACGTGTTATGGGAGGGACCCAGGGGGAGGTAATTGAAACATGGGGGTCAGTCTTTCCCACGCAATTCTCAAGATAGTAAATAAGTCCACAAGATCTCATGGGTTTATCAAGAGTTTCCGCTTTTGCTTCTTCCTCATTTTTTCTCTTGCCACCACCATGTAAGAAGTGGCTTTTGCCTCCTGCCATGATTCTGAGGCTTCCCCAGCCACATGGAACTTTAAGTCCAATTAAACCTCTTTTTGTTCCCAGTTTTGGGTATGTCTTTTAACAGCAGTGTGAAAACGAACTAATACAGACGGTAACCCAAAAGAAACTTAATTTACTTCAAGAAGTTAAATATCACCTGGTTTTCAAATAACTGACCAGACAGCTCAAAATAGTCTTATATCCCTAAGTGCTTTTACTCTGAACTATAAGGGACTCTTCAAAGAAACATCTATATTAATACTATGTTATCTTGTCTACTCATCAGAAATCAATCACAGTCAATAAGAAAGCAGGACTTCATTTTTTATGAGAACCTAGGCCAATTCTTTGGCATACCTAAAACAACAATCCTCTTATACTGAATGCTTCTGAGGTTAAACATGGAAGTAGCCCATTTGTGTTTCCCCACCGTCAAACTCTTAGGCCATAAGCAGCAGCAATGCAGCAACTTGGACAGACAGAGCTGAGCTATCAGCAAGGAGGAAGCCAGGTATAGGGAAGAGGAAGAGGCAGGCTCTCTTAAGGAACTGTTCTGAATAAAGTTTGTAAGTAGGCAAATTTTTATTTAAAATGACTTGGATGTAACAAGATGACACCCTTTTTTCCAACCTTCCTCTTCTGAATATGTCCTTCTATTACATTTTTAAAGTTCCTTTCTCCCTTCCAGTAAAAAGGCTCCCATTTCATTAATGCTACCTCCACCCCTATTTCCCTGGATCTAGTCCATCCTTCCTAGCACCCATCCACTCTTTCTGTCCACCAACCTTTTTAATAGCTTTCCATCTCCCCATCTCCCTTTCCTCCCCACCCATGCTAGTCATCCTTTCCAACCAGACTAGTATTTATTCCCTAAGCACAAGGATGGTTTCATTCAATCTTTCCATTATCATTTCCTATTTTATTTTTTCTTTAATAGTAATACATCTAATAATTCAAATTTAAAAGGTGTACATATGATACCACAATAAAGAGCTTTTCAAAGTTAACCAAAGACTTACAAGGGTATATACTGAAAACTATCTCACCATCCCTGACCCTAGTTTCCCACACCCCAGAAGCAACCAATAGTTAAAATATCCCTGAAATGTCTATCTGAATTTTTGATTTTTGAGTTCAAGTAGCAGAGATTCCTGCAGTCAGTATCTTATATTTCCATTGTATGTCTTTACAAATATCTGTATGTGTATCCTCCCCTCTCCTACCTTTCTACACAAATGTTAGAATACTTTATGTGCTTTGAAGTGGATTTTACACAATTTATTTTAGTGACCATTCCATTTGAGTAACTAAAGAATGATATGGTTTGGTTGTGTCCCCACCCAAATCTCAACTTGAATTTTATCTCCCAGAATTCCCACGTGTTATGGGAGGGACCCATAACATTCTATACAGAATCCTTTATCATTCTGTATAGCCACAGGGTACTTCTTTGTATGGATACACCTTAATGTATACCCTATTTTGTTCATCTACATTCCATCCAACCTTGTTATTACAGACAATGCTGCAAGTAATGAGCTTGCACATACATCATGTACCATTTGTGCAAGTGTATCTGAAGAATAAATTCCCAGAAGCAGAACTGCTCAGTTACAGGACAGCACATATGTAACTTTGCTAGTTATTGCAATGTCATTATAGCTAGAGGCTGTGCCAAGAATGGACTAGCATACCTGTGTCCCTCACATCTTTGCCAACACAGTTTTATTACCAAGTTTTTGGATCACTACCAAGGAAATACTGAAAAATACTATGATTGGTCAGATTTACACTGAATTTCTTTCCATGAATAAAAATGAACATTTTTTGTTGTACATTTAACAAAACCATTTTCATTTTTCTATAAATTATTTCCAATTTTTCGGTAGTTGATCTTTTTCTTATTATTAGAATTATTTATTTATTAGGAGAATGGGCTCTAAACCTATAATATAAATTGCTAATCTTTTATTCTCAGTTTGATCGTTAATTTTTAAAAACATTTTATGATAGAGAAGTGTAGTGTACAGCTCAAGGAATTTTCACAATCTGAACACACCTGCATAGTCAACAGCACAAATTTGTGTGTACCTATGCAACAATCTTGCATGTTCTTCACATGTACCCCAAAACCTAAAATGCAATTAAAAAAAAAAAGAAGCATAACACTGCCAATACCCAAACCACTCCAGCCTGGCTTCCCTTGCTACCTGCCCATCCACGTGTAACCACTGCCCTGCAGCTGGCTCTGCAGGAGTACACTGCTGAGCTGTATACAAACAGAACTAGAGTGTGTGTTCCTGGTCAGCTTCATGTCATTCCACATGTTCCTGAGATTCATCCATCTTGTTGCATGTGGCTGTATATCATTCATTCCCACTGCAACCTAATATTCCAGGGTATGAATAAGCATAATCCATTCTATAGCAGTGGGAGGGCAGGGTGGTTCTGCAGTGACTTTGAAACTTCCACTGCTAATGGGAATTTCAGAATCTGGGGCCGATACAAATAGTGCTCCTATAAACATTTTAGTATGTCTTTTGGTGAATATGTACACTCTATCTGTTGTGTATGTACTCAGGTGTAGAATTATTAGGTCATAAAGTATGAAGTTCACAAAGTTCACTTTCACAAGACACTGCCAAACGGGTTTCCAAAGTGGCTGTACCAATTTATACTCCCACCAGCAACACATGAGAATTCCATGATCTTTTAAGTGATAAATACCCACTGTTCAGTCTGCATCATCGTTTTCCTTAGATCAAGATATCACTGAACAAGTCCTAACTGCAACTCAGCTTCACACTTCTGACCCCTATTTTCACTAATGACTGCTTCTGCCTCAAACCACAATCACTCAAAATCTACACTTTCTTCTGACTCCTTGACTCAGGTAATGGTATTGCCATTGCCCCAAGTAACTCAGACCACAGACCCTCCTCTCTTCCTGCCTTTCTACTCTCCCCTGAAGTCCAGCCATCAAATCCTAATCATTTTACCTCTACGTCTTTCATTAGCTACTCTCTTCATTTTCACTGGGGCACCTAGATTTCTACAACATCCTAAGAAAGCTACCAAATGACCTTTACTGCCAGGAGAAGACTCACCAATCAAGTTCTACCAGTAACTAGTCCTGCCACTTTCCAGACAAGCCTCAATCTTGGGCATGGTGGTCAAACCTCAAAAACCACTCCCTGGCCCTCCTGACCTCTCCGGTGTCGCCTCCTGGCCCCTGGCCGCTCTCCCTTCGTCCTGCCATAAAGGCTGGCCACACTGGAGCATGCACCTTCTCAAACACATCCACACTTCACCATCCGATTTCCTTCCAATGAGACTTTTCCACCATTTGAAATTTCTCATACCCCCAAAGGATTACCTGTTACTCTACTTCAAAAGTGGCTTCCTCTATGAAATTCTTTTGCTACCTACTCACGCAACATTTGTTTCTCCTCTAAATTCCAATGCTTTTGGTTTGAGTCTCTCACAATGCCAATGACTGTGTATTGTATTCTTGTGTCATTCCTCTGGGCTGAAAGAAACTGTCTGATGGACAGTTTCTTAAGGGCTGGCATGCTGCCTTATTTATCACTGTAATTCCACAACAAGAGATATTTTTGAAAGAAGCTTAGTACAAGCAGTAGATCGAATAATTTCTTCCTCTGGCGCAAGCCTATTAACAGTAAGGCCAGGCCTGACAGGCCCGTGAGCACCGTGGCTCCTTCCAGTTACAGAACAGCTCAGCCCTGAGGGTTGCAGCACAGCATCTTCACAGACTCAGGCTCAAAATGCTGTGACCTGGCATTGTGCAGAGCTAAACCAGTTTCTATATTCACTGTCAGAGACGATGCTGATCAACAACCTATCTGCTTCTTTTAACACTTTATCCCTCGAGATTTCGTTATCTTTTTGGTTACTTTTCTTCCATCATTTCTACCACATTTCCTACCTTTCATGGACTGGTTTTTGTAACTGCTGATTTATCTAGACATTTCCTTTGCTCAGGTCAGAATTTTTAAAGGGACAAGCAAAGCCTGAAGTCCCTTCCAGTCCTGCAAAACTATGAGGTCTACACAGAAGTAAAAGAATGCTATTCTTACTCATCACCTTTGCCTAAGGATATGGCTCGGCTCATTCTACAATGATTAAGACTGGCTAACTAAAACCTTGGGTCCTATAAAAGCAAGTGAGGCGCTTCCAGAATACAGTGATAGCCCGGAAGGGATCTGATGTGCCTGACCAACATATATAGAGTAATCTGAGAAAGATCAGAAACAGTGAAAATGGTATAATAAATGTTTATCCGTATACTCACAACCAGATCTGAAGTCTTCATTCATCTCATCACTTAGAGATATATTTAAATTTTGTTTGCTATTAAAAGATGTGTAATAGGCAAGGTCCGTCACCCACCTACCCTCTTCATTTTGATAGACCACATTCTGTGGGAGATCTCTTTCTAAAAAATAAAATTACAAAAATATCCAATGATACATGTAATAACTAAAATGATAAAACATTCTCAATTTTTAAAAAAAATTTAGATGACTACCTTAGTTATCAACAGTGCTGAAGTCTTCCAAAACTAGTTAGAAAAAGAAAAACCCATTTCCCCAAAAGAAAAGTATCTCTTTGATGGAAGATAAGCCAGCATCAATTATAAAAAAAAGTCTATAATGGAGAATGAGGCATAAAGAAAAAGAATGTTAAGACTTAGTTAGAAAGGCATATTTTCACTAGATCTCTGATGAAAGATACCATTTCTGAGCAGTTCTCCCTGTATTAGTAGATTTAAAATTTTGTTTAAACTACAAAACACTTAAATATTTAATATGAAAGATTGGCACATTTCACATGGAAATATATCCTATTCAAAACGTACAAACATCTATTTTTTTCACTCTATTTTTTTTTGAAAGCCCACTTACTGTCTTTATTCTTTTCAATGGACTCGTGACATTCACATGTTCGCCTTTCAGAAGTTGGTGACCAAACGGCATCAGTGAAATTAATTTCACTGTCACTGATAGGCTTCAAAGACGCTACATCCACATTTTCTTGAACGGACATTTTAGGAGTCTCAGTGTCCAAACATCCATCCATGTGCAAAACTGTCTTATTTTGATGAGGACACTCTGTCTCCTGTTTTACAGGGTCAGTTGGGTCAAAGCCACCATCAGCATTTGCATCATGAAAATTATCAGAGTTAAGTTTCACGTCAGTAGCCCTGAGGGTCTTCACCAAAACATCTTTTCTTGCACTTTCCTTTAAAAAAAAAAATCAGATTTTTTAACACAGCAAGTTTTGCTTTTTATAACGCATGTTAAAAATTTATGGGAAAAATCATATAGTTGACATAAAATGTTTATTATATGAAGGAATAGAACATACAGTACTCACTATGTTCTACACTATGTATGAATATATGAACCAATGATAAGCAACTTACTAAAACCAGACATTGTGATGTGGTCATGGGAAACATGTCAAGAGATTCACATACCAAAAGTAAGCTCTATGTGTGCACTACATTACAGGATGATAGAAATGTCAGCTCAACTTTTATTATTACCAATAAAAGTCTCTACAAGCGTGGTAAGCCTATTAATGTGACCAGCCTAATAAAGTTAATATGAATTAACAGCCCTTGATATTAATACCAGATACTAGTATCTTTTAATAGGAGTAAAGCAGTGTATACTACAAATGCCCCTGAGCAGTCCAATAAAATTTGTATCAGTCACAGCAAATTAATTCAGTGCCTTAAAACTATGCTCTTCAAAATATTTTTCCAAGTGGCACTTTTTATTCTTTCCTAAAGTAACAACTGCTGAAAAGGGGCTCAAATGTCTTCAACATCATTTGTGGATATTTGGCTGCCACCAAGGTTATCGCATGCCATTGAAACCTATTAACAGCAGTCCTTTCTGCTATAATAAGACAAGCAATAAGAACAATCTGATAAGGCACAGTTTCTGAAAGTTACAATACTAAAACAAGGTTGTTCTAAATAAAAGATGATGACTTTGAAATACGAAAGACGTAGGTTCAAATCCTAGTGCCAATCATTCATTAACTGGGTGCTTTGCCAACATTACTATATAAAAATAAACATCAAAATAAATTCCAGATGACTTAAAGATTTAAATATAAAAGTATTAGGAAAAAATACAGATGGATTGTCTTATATTCTTCAGTGGATAACGTCTTCTAAGTGTAACATTCTAATGTCTTGAACTGTGTCCCCTCAAAAAGATATATCCAAGTCCTAAGCCTGGTAACTATAAATTATGCTATTATTCTGAAACAAGGTCTTCACAGATGTAATTAACTTAAGGATCTTGAGGTATGACTATCCTGGATTTAGGGACCCTAATCACAATGACCAATGCCTGTATCAGAGGAAAGATAAGAAAATTTCAGACAAAGATACAGAGAACAAGGCCGAGTGAATACAGAGACAGAGATCTGACTGCTGCTGGTACAAGCCGAGGAATACCAGGAGCCAGCAGAAGCTGGGAGAACCAGGAAGGATTCTCCTCTAGAGCCTCTGGAGGGAGCACCACCCTGCTAGCATCTTGATTTCAGACTTTCGGCCTCCTGTGAGGAAACAAAGTTCTGTTGTTTTGGGCCAGCATGACTGTGGTAATTTGCTCTGGCAGCCAAGGAAGCTCACACACACATTAAAGCTTAAAACACATAAAGACCAGTATATTTCCATAACAAAAATCTTACAAAATTAAATTAAAATAAATACTCCAATAGAAAAAAAAATGACAAACGCCATTTAAAACAAGATAACTACTTTTCATATACAAGACTTGCAAAGATTAAAAAGAAACATAATGTGGAAAATTGGTCTCTTCCGTAAAGTGACTTAATCTTGAATACGGAAGGTCGTTTACAACTTCTAGCTTCCGGTTCCGTGTGTAAAGGGCTTGGAAGTCGCCACTCCATCCTGACAAGTAAAAACATGAACAAACTAACAAATCAACGACTCTTCTTAGATCCATAAGAGAAGGTAACAGGATAAACTGCTGCCTCTAAAACTGGAGAGACAGACAGGCAAACACAGAGAATACTAACATACCAGGAGATACACTCTCAAGCAGAAACCTCCACAGTAACCAGCAGAGAAGGAATATCTGACCTGTAACTGATGAATTGCTGTAGGCTCAGTGTGGAAAAGTCTGAGAGTTAAAAACTCCAGGGGATCCAGTCATAGGTGGGCCTCCATCCTTTTTTGAGTTTTACCTCCAGGAGCAGGACCAAGTTTTCACAGCAAATAACGGAGAAAACTCCCCTTGGACTTCCAGCATGGGGAGAAGAAAAGGGTCATTTTGAAATATAACAGGGCATTTTGTTCTTAGGTCTGCCCTCAAGAAAACCTAACCGGCTGGGGTTTTATCTGAGCCTAAGCAGCCTAGGGAAAGGGAAGTACCCAACTCTAGCTCCCTCAAGCTACCCTGTCCATCCTAAGGGGAGGAAAAAACAAACACTTGTGGAGTACATATTCTAAAGGCACAGGCTCACTGAAAGACTGAGACTAAATAACAGAATTATGGAATGCTTCCCCTCCGCAATACCTTGCCACAACATAACGAAAGGCCTATTTACAGCAGTTCTTTTACTTGGCACATCATGTCCAGCTAACAAGAAAAAATTGAAAGGCATACTAAAAGGCAAAAAAAAAAACCACAGTTTGAAGAGACAGGGCAAGCATGAGAACCAGCAGAACCAGGTATGGCAGTGATGTTGGCATACTCAGGCCAGATATCAAAAACAATTATGATGAATATGCTAAGGGCTCTAATGGATACAGCAGACAACACACAGGAACAGAATGGCAATGTAAACAGAGAGACGGAACTGATCAGAAACAATCAAAAAGAAATGCCTGAGGTCAAAACTAGTAACACGTGAAGAGTACCTTTGCTGGGCTCATTAGTAGACTGGACACAGCACAGGAAAGATACTCAGCTCGAGCATATGCCAATGGAAACTTTCAAAACTGAATGTAAAAACAACAAAAATGAAAAAAACAATCTCAAAAAGCTGCAGGACAACTACAAAATGTATAACATATGCATAAGGGGACATCAAAAAGTGAAGACAAACAGAAAGGAATAAAACATTTGCAACAATAATGACTGAGAATTTCTCCAAATTAAATCAGACAACAAGCCACATATCTGGGAAGCTCACAGAACACCAAACAAGATAAAGGCCTAATACACTAGGGCTGTACTTGGAAAATAATAAATAAAAGCCAAAACCAATACTACACCTGAGTGTATCATTTTCAAACTACAGAAAATCAAAGATAAAGAAAAAAATCCTAAAGAAGCCAGCAAGGGAAAAAACAGCCTTACATACAGAGAAACAAAGAGCAACATCTTCTCAGAAACCATGAAAGCAAGAAGGAAGTGAAGAAAAATATTTTAAAGAGTTGAAAGAAAGAAACCAACAATCTCTAATTCTGTATCCTGAGAAATTATCCTCCAAACATGAAAGGGAAATACTTTCTGAGACAAGCAAAAATTGAAGGTATTTGTTGCCAGTAGATGTGCCTTGCAAGAAATTTTTTGAAAAGTTATTTTAAGAGAAGAAAAATATATAGCTCAAAATCTTATATCTACAAAGAAAGGAAAAGTACCAAACACAAAATAAGTAAAGGTAAAACAAAAATTTTCTTTTTCTTTCTTTTTGAGATGTAGTCTCACTCTGTCACCCAGGTTGGAGTGTAGTGGCTCAATCTCGGCTCACTGCAACCTCTGCCTCCTGTTTTCAAGTGCTTCTCCTCCCTCAGCCTCCTGGGTAGCTGGGACTACAGGCGCATGCCACCACGCCCAGCTAACTTTTCATGTTTTTAGTAGAGACGGGGTTTCACCATGTTGATCAGGCTGGTCTCGAACTTGTGATCTGCCGGATTTGGCCTCCCAAAGTACTAAGATTACAGGCCTGAGCCACTGCACGCGGCCTATTTTCCTTATTTTTAACTGGTCTAACAACACATTGTTCAGAAAAATAATGGCAACAATGTATTCAATGATGTATGCTTATGTGTGCATATATATGCATATATATATGTGGGGGGTATGTCTATATAGAGACACACACACCTGCTTATGTGTACTTACATGTAAGTGAAATGAATGATAGCAATGATGCAAGGAATGGGAGGGAGGAATTAGGAATATTTTGTTATCGTCAGGTACTCAAACTACCCATTAAATAGTACAATGTTATCTGAAAGTATGAATTAATTGTAAATACATATTGCAAACTAGAGCAACCACTAAAAAAAAGTGGGACAAAAAGAATTATATCTGATATGCTAACAAAGAGAAAATGAAATCATATGAAATGCTAAATTAAGACCAGAGAGAAGACAGGCATGGTGGCTGGCACCTGTAATCCCAGCACTTTAGGAGGCCAAGGTGGAAGAATCACTTGAGGCCAGGAGTTCAAGACCAGACTGGGCAACGTACGAAGACGATATCTCTACAAAAAAGTTAAAAGTTAGCCAGGTGTAGGGGCATGTGACTGTTGCCCTAACTACTCAGAAGGCTGAGGCAAGGGGATCACTTGAGTCCAGCAGTTCAAGGCTGTAGTGAGCTATGATCCTGCCACTGTACTCCAGTCTGGGCAACAGAGAGACCCTGTCTCAAAATAATAATAATAACAATAATAATAATAATAATAATAAAATTCTTAAAACCACAAAGAAAAAGACTGAAGAAAAAATTTAAAAAATGAACAACAAATAGAAAATAGTAACAAACATGGTAGACATTAACCCAACTATACTACTTAATCATTTTCAAAGTCATTAGTGGCTCACATCTGTAATCCCAACACTTTGGGGAGCCAAGGTGGGTGATCATGAGGTCAGAAGATCAAGACCATCCTGGCCAACATGGTGAAACCCCATCTCTATTAAAAATACAAAAATTAGCTGAGCATGGTGTCACGTGCGTGTAATCCCAGCTACTTGGGAGGCTGAGGCAGAAGAATGACTTGAACCAGAGAGTCAGAGGTTGCAGTGAGCCGAGATCGTGCCACTACACTCCATCCTGGTGACAGAGCGAGACTCCATCTCAAAACAAACCAAACAAACTAACAAACATACCAACTAAAAGAGATTTTCAGAGAAGAATAAAAAAACAAGACTCAAGTATACGATGTCTACAAGAAAACAACATGCAGATTAAAAGTAAATGGATGGGCCGGGCACGGTGATTCATGCCTGTAATCCCAGCACT